TTGGGGCACTTGACCTGACCTCAGAGGTCACCGGTTGACCTACGACCTTAAAATCGGGTACCAATCTCTGCGTCTCGTAACGGCGCACACGCTCGTTTTTTCCGCGACGCGCTAGCTCCACCAGGGGCGAAACGGCGAGGGGGGGGGGTCGTACCCGCCCCCCCCCCCTCGGCCGGCGCGTATGTAGAAAACCAATAGGTCCGGCGAGGGTTAATGAGCACCTACGACATATGGTAGGTGCTTGTTGTAGGGGTCTGCCTCTATTCGGATTACCGCAAACTTTTGGATCTCTCTTGAACTGGCTAGTTCTTTAAAGTGACCATCCCACCTTAACATTAATTTTGAGTTGAGATAGCCAAATTGGTGGCCATGGCCTGAAAATACCGGTTTGGGCACTCACAACATCGAAAAATGCTTTAATTCGGAGATATGGAATTTCAAACTTGCAGTTTTCGGATTCTAAGGGGCTAATGCATTGGAATGCCCCCTTAGAATTTGTGACGTCAGCGCAGATCTAACGATTTTAAATCTTTTACTAAAACGTTTGGTAGCACGCGGTGGCATATGCCGCTTGGCGCGCAACAAGTGCCGCACTTTCAAATAAAGTTGCTAGGAACAGCGGAGATCCCAAAATGTAAACAAAAGTAAAAGTCTTATATCTTGAAAACCGGTGAATATTTTTCGATGAAATTTGATAGATATTCGTTTTCGCTCTTTCTGAACCGAGCGACATCACTTTCATGCCAATTCATTAACTTTTTTGAAGGTGGGAGGGTCCCTTTAACCCTCGCCCGCACATGCCATTTTCCCATCCTAGAACGCACATGGGGGGGGGGGGGGTTGCCACCCCCCGCGCCATTTCGTTCCTGTTGGAGATAGAGCTTAGCGGTAAAGACCAAAAAGATTCTTTGGGAAGAGACGAATCCAATGATACCCAGTTTTACCTTCTCAGGTCAGTCATTGACCTTCCAGGTCAGGTCAAACTAAAAAATGTTGCTGTTTTGGGTCACCGTTGGATATCAAGTGCGCTGCTTATCAAATACCGATGACGATGCTGTTTTCTGGTGCCAAGCCAGCTAGAACCTCTTTGTCACACTACTCGACCAGAATTTTGCTGCTGAGGTCATTTCAGGTCAAGTTAGGTCAAGGTCAATTATATGCGTTTGTATGTCTGTGTGTGTCTGTGTGTATACTGATGTGTGCACCGATTGTTTTTGGGTCCATATTACATGAAATCATGATCTGAGAAGCTTTTACCAGAAATGCAGTCAAAAAACTTCACAAAAAGTAAATTCAGCTTGCCTAAAACGCAATTATCTTAGATGACCTAGGTTGACCTTGACCCTGACCTTGACCCCTGTACATCGTCGAACAACATGTTCCATGATAGGTGGGAGGTAAGACTGGCAAAACAGGCCGAAATCAGGGTGTCAAAAGCTCACAAGGCCCATGGCAAACGCAAGATGTTGAGAATTGGCCATTTGGGTCATGACATGACCTGAAAACAAGGTCATATCTCCGAAACCAAAAATCACAGAAACTTGAAATTTTCAGTGGACATCAAGAAAGGATAGAGGAGCAGCTATACGAAAAATCAACTTTCTAGCTCTAAAAATGCTGAGTGCAGAGCAGAAAGACTACCTGGGGGGGGGGGGTGGCAACCACCCCCCCCCCCCTCCATGTGCGGGCGAGGGTTAAGCTTCGACACATAATCTTTTACTTTACCTTTCTTAACTAACTAGAAACATGTTGCGTTCTTAAAACTGTGTTTTCTCTTCAACATTTGGAGCAGACACGTATTGAAGTTAAATCAGTCATAGGCACGAGTTAACCCTCGCCCTGGCAGGGGGAGGGGGTCGCATGGGGGGGTCGATGCGACCCCCCCAAGGTTTTTCAAAGATAGCGTAAAAACGGCGGCGCGCAGCGCCGCTAAATTTGGCACAGCCTATGGGGCAACCTTTTTACATATGACCTGAAAATTTCAGGTCCCAGTGACCTTGGGTCAGGTCACCAGGTCAGAAAAACCGGTACAAGGTCATGGTCAAATTTCAATTTTCTTTTTGCACCTGTCCAACTCACAGTTTTGGACTGATTTCCTTCAAACTTTCAAGATGTGCTAAGTTCACCGAGTTGTATAACATATAGTTCGGGTTTTTTGAGGTCACTGACCTGAGGTCAGTTAGAGGTCATTACGTCGTAATGTTAAGCCTATTGGGAAAATACTAAATTCGGAAAATACTGGATATCCGCTTCGTTCTATCACGTTTGTACTTTGAAACCACAGTACTGAGCAACAGGTCACTTGGTGCTTCTTTGTTTGGTGTACTTATCCATGGGTCAGGTCAAATGAGGTCAACTGAGGTCAAATTACGTTTTTGCCAATAACTTGGCACATAATGACGCTAGAGCTTAAAAATTGTGTCATTGTGTTCCTGGTGATCAGCCGAATCGAATGATATGCAATATGATGCAATTTGGTTAACTTGAACTTAATTGATTAATTAAAGTTTACTTAAAAATTAAGAAAAACTTTAAGTACACTTAAGCAAGCTTAAAAGTATATCATTCGACGCGCCTTGGCGTGCTGAGTTCACTGGTGCTTTTCTTTTGCTCTATCTTGATTAGATCAAAAGTTATAAGCGAAAAACCTTTGACCTATTTTTAGCGAAATTTTTACATTTATACCCCTAAAACCCCCCTAAATATTGACCTAGAGCAACCAAATTTGCACAGGGGCGAGAACTACAGGGGCCCACCTACCTACCAAATTTGGTGTTTCTAGGTGCCATAGGAGCCAATCGCGAGGGGGGTCGCATCGACCCCCCCTGCCAGGCCGTGTTATGAAAAATGCCCTGCCAGGGCGAGGGTTAAGTTATCCGGTTAACGAGTCAGGCATTTAGGGCTTATACTTTCAAATAATTGATAAAATTGGTGACAGGATTGATTTAACCAATAACCTACTCGATGATGAGGCTTACTGTAATAAAGGTAACTTTGTAGAAACTGATATTCTACACCAGTGTTTCCACTAATAAAGTAGAAGTGTTTGCCAAAAACCGCAACAATATCATTCAAATGTATAGTGACGCATGTTCGCATATTAATTTTCAGAGCACAATTACGACTACAACTGATTATTTCTAATTGCGGCATATCTACAAGAGTTTTTAATGAAACCGCCAAGAATGATTTAAGATAACTTCTGAAGAAGACCACAACCAACCGTCACCCCCCCCCCCCTCCCATCCGTCGCTCCCTCCGCACCATTGATTGGCCGCTTGGCTCGGCGGCGGCCGGCCTGTAAAAGTTAAGCCGTTGCCGCTTGGCGAGGCACATAAGCGTCGCCTCGTCTCGCTCCTTATCTCGTCTGGAATGTTTTTGTGCTGTTGGCAACGGCGCGTTTCACCAAGTCAGCGAAGATCAAGTGGCTGCCGGCCGTCGGCGGCCATCTCTCATCGGAGAGCCGGTCGATAGTGAGGGAGACTGGACGGGATAGCTGGACAGAGCTGGACCGGGCTGGACCGAATAATGCCACTTCTGGACGGAGCAAACCCCAGTGCTGGGCGGATTTGGGCGGAATAATGCCACTTCTGAACGGAAGCAGCGCTACTGCTGGACGGAATAACGGAGTATAGTTAGGCGAAGCTCGAAAGGGTAACGCAACTGTTGGACGGGGGAACGGCCGTAAAGCAGCGCCACTGATATCACTGCTAGACGAATCAGCGTCATTATTGCACGAAACCAAGGTGGCAAAAAAAAAACGCAGCCGCATCGCGGGTACCACTGCGTTGAAGCCCCTGCTTAACGCACAACAGACACTGCTGAATGTCACTGCTGAACGGATGAACCTAGATATGGCCTTGGATGAACCGATTGAAAAAGCTTTCGTACGACGCCATTTGATGTCTTTCAAATTACTTTCATTGTGGTAAACTATAAAAAGTATTGGATGTCTCTTAATTGTTCTCAGCAATCATGAAAGGGTAGCATACTTTACTAGCACGGCTAAATGTCCTATCCAGTCTTCCATCGATGTTTGCCGCGCCATCGACCTGGCCTTGTCTTAAATAACACATCATTCACTCCAGCGATAACGGCTGATCAATAGGGCGCAGAATAGGCCGTAAAACAACCAACTGGCCCGGGCCAGCCGCTCGAGCACACCGCTGATGATGACCAATGGTCGCCACTCGCTAACAATGGCCGCCATTTAGTGGCCTCGTCCACTGACCGGCGCCCAGCTGAGCCAGCAGCCGCTGACGTCACCAGCAGAAACAGCCGCTCCATTTGGGCCGACCTCTACACAAATTTGACCGCGCCGACCGGCCGGCGAGCGTTCAAATTTGGCCGGCCCGCCTCGCCACACACATCTACGCTACCGGCGGGACGAAGCAGAGCCGAGCGCGGCCCACAAACGGAGATTGCTGGCGGCGCCGTCACGGGCGCCAGGGGACCCCAGCTCACTCGGGTTCGGCGCGCATTTGCATCGTGGCCAGATCAGAAATCGACCGGCACGCCGCGGCTCCGTCAGCCGCCTGTCCAACTCGGCCACCGGCGCGGGGACGGGGAGACGCCCCTCTCCTTTACTCTGTACCCGCGCGTCACTCTCCACGGTAATCGGTACTCTACAGTATATCCTGCGGGAGCGATTGGAGCAGGATCTCGGGATGGCTCAATTCCACGCTAGAATAGTAGGTCAAATCCCTGGACGGTTTTCTGAATAGGTCAACTAGCCTCCATTTGCGAATGTAACAATAAGTCTTCGGCATTATAAAAGCTCCAGAACTAGCACCATCTGACAAACTGTTTGAACTACCAATAATTTCAAACAAAACCGATGCACATTCGATCTCGCAAGTGCCGCACTTCTATTCAAGTACATCGTCCCGTTAAAGCGTACCGTCTCGCGTTTTGCTCCTCATCTCCAGCCCAGCGCGCCGCCCCACGTCTAGCCTTCCGTCAAACATCAGTAACCCTCCTCCCTTTCAACCACCACTCACCAATCAGATCGAGGATCTCTATGGGGTCATCGCCGTACTGGACCTTCTCAGCGTGGCTGGGCTCGCTGAGCATGAAGGCGGCCACGTACGGTGTGAACATGGCCGTGTAGATGACCAGAAGCAGCACGATCCAGTCCCAGACCGCCTTGAACGGCGAGTAGTGCAGAATAGTCCACTTGTGAATGCGCGGCGACTGCAACTTGTACTCGGGAAGTACGTCCGCTCCCAGCGATAAAACCTGACGGAGAGAGATGGCGCAGAGTCAAGACAGGTCGAGACCTCATGCTGAGGTAGGTTCTTTGATCGGTGCAATGTTGAATTCCGCTTAGATATATTCTAAGGCGCGGAATTTTCAATAAAAGTCCAGATATTTTTTATTGGCAGTAGCTTCGAGGTGATCAACGAAAAGTGGTACTATAAGCCGTTAAAATCTTTCGAGGGCTTTTATAGTAATATTTCTATTAATAATCAAAAATATAGTAGGTAAATTCTTCAAGGCCCTAACTCTTCTATTTAACTACATAAGGTTATCACTACTGATTCAGCTAAACCTAAACGAGATATATTAAAGGTCAGGATTATTCTTCACCACACAAAGTCCAAAGATAGCGATAATTAGCTACAGCCAATATGCATAAGGCGGTAACACTCAGCAGATCGCTGCGAAGCAATGAATGCCACCAGAGCGAGCGAAGATACTGCTTTTGGAGACAAAATGTTCGATGAAGGTTAAAGACGGCGCCAAAGTCATGAGATCAGCTGCAGGCGATAGACGCGTCGGGCGAAGCGGGGTCGGGGTGTAAGAGGGCGCCATACGGGGTCAGGTCAAAGGTCGGAGGTCACGGCTGATGAAATGGACGCCCTGTGGCATGCCGCGCGGTGATTACGGCCCGGCTCGACTGCCGCGGCCCGGGCGCCGCTGACAGGGTGTGTGACGCCGGTCGTTTCGGCGGAGAGTGACAGCGACACCGGCGGATGGCTCGGCCACACCGACCGGCCGGCGCGCCGGGCACGTCAGAGTCAGGAGCATGCCAAGCTGAGCCCAAATCCATCCAGCTATATACATTGGGATGCATTTTGTACAATGTGCATCACTGCACTCTTTGACATGTTTGGTTTGCTACAAAGGGATGCAGCGATAAATCCGATGGTCTGAAAGGTCATAAATCGACAATGATCGCAAATGTAGCAATAAGCATAAACCCGTCTGAAAGAAAATAACAAGACCATACATAAACCTACTGCAACACAGAAGTTTATCTTTGCTACATTATAGCACACTGCCTTATGAATTATTAAAGACGTTTCACACAGAAGGGCATAAAAGACCAGCCAACACTTTTACAACTCCCTGATGCTCCGCAAGGCCTCGAGGTCAGCAGTCAAGGACGCAAACAGCGATTGTGCCTCGGGCTGGCTTCTACGGCCGGCGGAGAAGTGCACCATCAACTGCACAATTGACGCCAGTCGAGCTGAGAAGCCAGACTTGAGCGGTAGCATTGCGGCGCGCTGTAGCTCACAAACAGGCTCGACTGACAGCCGGGTGACAGGCGGCGCGCCGACATTCGACAGGCATTCGGCGGCGTGCGGCTGACGCCGTCACCCGACATCGGCAGATGACGGAACGCCGCCGCGCCGACGAGCGGACGAGTGACGGGCCGCCGAATGACCACTGGCAGCGGACGCCTCCCCCGACACCTAATTAGGGCCCGTCGAGCGGCGGGTCTCGGTGGCGGCGGCGCGCCCCTCCGGTATGGCCGAAAAGCCTCACACCACCGGCGGTGCCGCCGCCGCGCCGCTCCCGATCGGCATTGGCCCTCAGCCCGACCGGTAGTCCGGCGAATTAGCGGCACATTCAGCACGACAGCACGGCAGCGGCAGCGGCGCGGAGTGTCGGCGACGGCCGACTCCCACCCTTCCGGCGGCCGTCAGCAACACGGCCCTAATTGACCCGCGCCTTGGCTGGCAACACCACGTTACGAGTATGTCCGGCGTTAGCCGAGGACTGTCCCATGAGTACTGGGCCTGACGCACAGGGAAAACCCGCTGAGTGACACCAGATTGGTCCGCACACGCGGCGAAAGAGATCTGGAATCATATCCCCCAGGACCGGGCTCGGGACAAAAAAGGAAAAAAGAAGCTGAGATAGAGCGATCACCTGCGCGGCCTTTTCGCCGGCTACCTCCAACATGGAGACTTGGGAGAGCCTGCGCCGGTCGTCGTTGCGAGTTTTCTCCGGCGATTCCAGTGAGAAGCAGCGGGGCGGCGGTGAGCGTGCCGGCGTCAGTCTGCGCCGCTGTCTGCCGGCGCGCACCTCCCGAGCTGTCCTGGTGCCGCACGGCGGGAACAGCAGCCGCGGCTCATCCGGAGACGGCGAGCGCGAGCCGGCGTCCACCCGGATGGCCGGCAGCGGCAGCGAGTTGGGCTGCTGGGTCGGCGGCGCCAGCCGGCCGTCACTGATGACGCTGACGGAGGAATGTCGCCGCGGCAGCGCCGGGCTGGACATCATCCGGCCGACGGCCAGCGACGACACGCGCCGTGCCGCCGGCGGCCGCCGCTCCTCACTCGGCGAGAGCATCAGTCATCGCACAACGCGTCACACTCGGAGCACATACGTCGGAGCACTCTCCGACGTCGACCCACACTGACTGGGGCGCGCCGCGCGCCGCAGAGTGCCGGCCCAGTCCGGCCTCTCCGAGTGGGTAAACAGTAAACGGCCGGTGGCGCGACTCGGCGGGACGCAGCTCTGCCGATCACTCCGGGCCGAGCTGGCCCATCGGCCTCGGCTGCGAAAATACACAGCGGCGCCGCGGCGCGCGGCGGTGTTTGGTGCCGCTGAGGGCGGCCGGCGCGCCACACACACGCCCCGTCCGCCGGCGGGCCAGGTCGGGCCCGCTCTGAGCTGGCTGCCGCCGCGGACGGCCGCGGAGCGCCACTCTCGCACTGAGAAGCTGCCGGCGCTGGCGGCCGCACTGGGGGCGGCCGGCGCCGAACCGCGCGGCGGTCCGGCCCGCCCGGCGAGCCCGACTGCTCGCCGACACCTGCGAGCCCGCGGCGCCCGCGAAGCCCCACCAGTAGCCACGCCCTGGTCTTGGCTGGCGAGCCCAGCTCCCGTGGGACCCGCCGGACAGTAAATAAAATACTCGGCCCGGATTCGCGCGCAGGCCGCTGGCCTAATGGATATTAGCGCGGCCACGGGTCGGGTGCTGCACGCGCAGCCCGGCGTTGCGGGCCGGCCGCTACTCGGCCGCTGGTCCGCTAATGGGACCGGACGGGTCAGGAGACGGAGTCGGCGTCGGAGGCGGCGCCGGGCCTCCCGAGACTGCTCGGACCGGACGTCGGCTACGTCCGGCTGTCGGCTCCGAGTGGTATTGGCAGTGACGCCGTGTCAGCCTCCGATCGGCCCGACCGGGGTGTCTGTGAGAGTACTCGCCGGCGGAGACATTACACCGGCGCCGGGACCTCTCGCCCGGTCCTCTCTGGCTGATTGTAGAACAAACGGTCGGAAATAGCCAGCCAATCGATGTCTGGCGAACGGTGGCGCCGCAGCAAACATGAGCCTCGCAGCCAATGGGAGGCACGACAGTTGTGCCGGGGCGGCCAAACGAGTTTGTTACTCGTTCAGTTTTCGAGTCGGAGTATGCGTCATCTGTCAACCGAATCGGTGACCCACAATGCCTTCTAGTTATCGAGCGATACTGTCCAACTTCTGACGTCCGGCTGCCAACATCAATATGGGTTAGCTCAAACTTCAGAGAAGCTTTTGGAAAAGCTTTCGTGCACTTAGTCATAAAATGTCCTCGTGCCATTGAACGCGAAGGAAGCTCAGGGTTATTCATTATCCAGTGATCCAAGATACAATGTCCTTGGATAGAAAGGATATAAAATATGGTGATGTCATTACTTCTGATGACCATCTATACATAAAAATGGCTTCCTGTTTAATTGGTATGTAGAAATCGATTGAGCGATAATCTAAAAAGGTTCTGACAAGACTTATCATCCATGTTCATCTGCTAAGTCTCATGGCGCCTTCGTAGCCGCCACTTTCTGCTTACACATCCTTGCATGTGAGCGAGACAGACTGTTTGCTTATCTGACTAGTGAACACGAAACGATCTGACCTGACATTTTACAAACCAGCTCGGGTGAAGCGAAAGCCAGAGATCGTCGCCAATACACAGCGCCCGACGGGAGCGGTGGTGTTCGTCCGGTCACGGCCGAGGTGTCAGATCAGCTCCGCCGCCAACGAGCGACCTGATTCGCGCCGCGTCCTCCCATTAAACAGACTCGAGTGCGTCATGTAAGCATGGCAAATGCTCCCAAACACGGCTGCGGAGGCTGCCAATGCCAATGAACCAATGCCGGAGGTTACAACAGATTCCAGAAATTGGATTCCGCGAACCCGGCGCCCCGGAGTTGAGGTCGAGTTAAAGATGGATGTAAGCACGTCCCTCGGTAGCGGCAGCATGCTTGGACGTCCTGGCCAGAGCAGTACAGCCGGCCGAAAATGTTACAAGCTGTGTGCCGGCTGGTCCTGCAGACCGAGCCTAGTTTTGTGGCTGCAATACACCACCGCAGATCCGACAAACTGGGTCGATCCCGGGCATGACTAAGCCTCAGCGAGGCTAAGCCGGCAGCTGAGACTCTTATCTGGGACTGTAAATTGCGCCAGTTTGCGTATATCCCGCCTAATTTCGTCAGACCGAGAAGCTCCTAGTTGGCTGCTGTAAAAGCCGCGGTCGTTTGACAAGCTCAGACTGCGGCAGCGACGTGCCCGTCAAGTCGCTGGCCGCACATACTGCGAGCTAATGTGGCGTGTGACGATCTTCCGCCCAATATATCACGCCGCATTATGCTGCTTGCATGCACATAATTGACTCAGAATCCTATTGATGGCGTGCAGTGATGCGCGAAGTGATACAATTAGTAAATGGTGTGTCAAAGGCAGATCCTTCTGCCAAAAGATACCCTTTCGCGCCGAAAAATATAGAATAATTAAACAGGACGTGTACAAAGCTTTATCATAGATCTCTGTATACCGAGTTCTATAGATTTGTCTTGGAATATTTAAAAAAAATTATGATCCAAAGAAGTCATCACAAATTGTATCACTTACGACACTTATTCAGCAAAAAAGGTAAGTGATTGGTCGTAATTAAACGTTTTAATTTCACTTGAAAAAAGCTTTGCCAATTGCGACAAAGGCTGAAACATCACCCACCTCTTTGCCGATGT